TCCGATCGCAAAAAAATGCATCGTCGTTGCTTTCGAAACATTGTTAATACCCACAAATGAAAATCAATTTGATCAATTAAAGTCGCACAAGAAGATTAATACGCATCTTGTGGCAACGCACGAAAATCAAGATAATCAGCACGCGATGTTGTCCAAACGATGTCCGATTGCAAAACAAATTTTATTGTTTCATTCGGAATGTCGTCGATACTAAAAAATCACTGTAAATTTGGTCAATGAAAGTTATGATAGAGTTCTTTCCCAGAGACAAGAATAGAAAAGAACCGTAGAAGGAGATCTTGCCCATCAACAAGAAGATGGGAGAAACTAACCCAGAAATAGAGAAATAGTAAAATGAAAGTGAAATATTATTAAGCCTACTGAACTGTACAAGAGAGATAAATATATAGACTAGGCCTATCAAGAAAATAACAAGAAAGTACGAAACAGACTAATGCTGACGTGGATCGGTTCTTAAACAGCCCGCCTCAAATTAATCATTCTAAGAGCGAATGGTTAATTTGGACCTGAGTATGCTGAACCGGTTCGCAGAAAGAGGCTTAGTTAACACATCGGCAATCTGATCCGTGGAACTGATGTGATTTATGTTGATTGCTCCTTGTTTGATGTGGTGACTTATGAAATGATAGTATATTTCAATGTGTTTGGTCCGTGCGTGAAATACTGGATTGTGAGCTAGTGCAATGGCTAAAGTGTTATCACAATATATCAGTGTGGGATGACTCTGCGATAAGCAAAATTCTTCAAGAAGTTGGAGAAGCCACAGGATGTTCCAGGTGGCCGAGGAGAGAGAGTGGTATTCTGCTTCGGTTGAGGATTTAGCTATCGTTATCTGTTTCTTGACTAACCACGAGATTAGGTTGTGAACGAGGAAGATGCAGAACCCTGTAATAGACTTCTAGTCGGTTGAGTTGGCAGCTCAGTCGGCATCCGTGTATGTACGAAGTTGAAGGTTGCCGGATTTGATTGGAAGACCGAAAGTTATTATGCCTTTGATGTACCACAAAAGGCGCTTGAGGTCTTGGTAGTCCCTAATTCGCGAATTGTGCATGTGCTGACATATGGAGTTTGTGGCAAATGCAATGTCTGGTCTTGTGATAGAGAGATATTGGAGCAATCCATCTAGCTTGCTAAATTAAGTAGGATCGAAGTATGGCTGATCGTTGGGTTGTCCGCTTAGTTTCAGTCTAATGGGTGTTGTAGAAGGTTTGCAATCGGAGAAGCCGACATGTGTGAGGAGCTCGCGAGCATAATATTGTTGATGCAGAAAATATATGTTATGCATTTTGACCACATGTATACCAAGAAACAGTGAAACTTCACCCAGCTGTTTTAGGCGGAATGCGGAGTGTAGCTGTTGTAGGATGTGTTTAATCTTGTTGTCGTCGTTGCCTATGACAAGAATGTCATCAACGTAGATAACAACGAACAAATGAATATCTTTTTGATCGTAAATAAGGAGAGAGGTACATGCTTTACTAAAGAAGAACCCAAGAGTTTGAAGGTATGTAGTGAATTTCTAAAACCATTGGCGCAGCGATTGCTTTAGTCCATAAATTGATTTGTGTAGTTTGTATACATGTTATGGGTGCTGAGAGTCCACGAATCTGATTGGTAGTTTCATGTATACTTCAACGAAGAGATCACCATGGAGGAAAGTGTTTGAAACGTCTAGTTGGATAATTGGCTAGTGATGGTGTAGAGAGACAATTAGAAAAATGCGGATTGTAACCATTTGGGCAACGGGGCTGAATGTTTCGGTGTATTTAACACCGAATTCTTGAGAGCATCCTTGTGCTACGAGTCTGGCTTTGTGTCGATCTGTCTGTCCATTTGGGTGAAGCTTGGTCTTGAATGTCCATTTACAATCTAGAATGGGTTTATCTATTGGAGGGGGAACCAAAGACCATGTTCCGTTTTGTTATAGTGATATTGCTGAGCTCCAGTGTTCATGTTGGGATGCTTGAGAATATGACGTAGGATCTTGAGCAGAGGAAGGAACAACCGAGAGATCAAAAATGGGCTTTGGTTTAGAGATTCCCGAGCATAGTCTTGTGAGCATAGGATGTCTTTGAATTGGTAGAGTGTTGTTGTGTTCGATATTGCTGACAAAGACAACGGACTATATAGGAGAAGGAAGCGTGACATGTTTTGTTGTTGTTTGTGAATTGTTGTTGTAGTTGAAGGAAGGTGAAGGGGGGTGATTAACCTGAGACGTTGGAATGAAAAGGAGAGGATTGTGAGTGTTATGAGTAGGGAGAGTGGACTGGTTAGTTTTGTAAGATTGAAAGGGAAACTGATGTTCATAAAAGGCAACATGCCGAGATATATAGAGTCGTTTGGATGGTATGTGAAGGCAGCAGTAGCCTTTGTATTGAGGAGAGTAATCGAGAAAGACACACTCTGTTGAGCTAGGTGACAATTTAGTTGGTGCTTGCGGTTTGGTCCAAGGAAAACAAAGGCAGCTGAATGTGCGTAGATGACTATAGGAGGCAGAATGACCGTGCAGCCGGAAGTAAGGAGTTTGATTTGATAATGTAGCAGATAGTAACTGATTTATGAGATAGTTTGTGGTGGTGATCGCCTCGGCCCAGAATGTGTGAGGAAGATGTGTTGTGTGAAGAAGGGTGCGAGTTGATTTCAAGAGGTGACGATGTTTTCATTCAGCGGTTCCATTTTGTTCTGGTGTGTATGGGCAACTCACTTGATGAGCGATACCTGATTGAGGAGGTTGTTTCTAAACTCAGTGCCAGTAAACTCACCGCCTCCGTCAGACCTGAAAGTTTGAATATTCGTGCTAAATTTGTTTTTAATTAAATTATGAAACTGTTGGAATTTAGCAAAGGTTTCATTCTTGGAGTTTAGCATATATAACCACAAAAATTTTGAGAAATCGTCAATGAATAAAACATAGTAATTGAAACTATTCATTGATGATATGGGTGCCGGACCCCAAACGTCCGAGTGGACTAATTGAAAGGGCTTATTACAAGAAGAAGAGCTAATGGAGAAGGGAAGTTTATGACTCTTTGAAACGTTACACGAGACAGGCATCTAAAGAAGAGGTAGAGCCGGCTAGTTCCGGAATGTATTTGACCAGAGAGTGAAGGAGACGTGAGTGCGGATGGCCCAATCTTGCATGCCACAGAGCGTGAGAATTTTTTGATGCCCAAAGAGTTGTAGAATGATGGCTGGAGGGGAGCTTAATTTGGTACATAACATGATGTTTGGGACCTTAGAGAAGCGTTCGATTGTCCCGATGATCCTTTATAGAAAAACTGTTAGCATTAAAAGACACTAAAACGTTGTTATTAGTGGTGAGCATAGAAATAGATAAAATATTGCAGGAAAGGGATGGAACATATAAAATGTTACGAAGTTGTAGCTTACAGTATGAGTCTGATAGAGGTAGAACCCCTTGTCCTGAATTTTGAATAGGTACAGTGCTACCATTAGCGATGGAAACGAAGTCGAGACCGTTGCACGGGGTGGATTGTTGAAGATTTGAGGCGTCTGCAGTTAAATGTAACGATGCTCCATAGTCCAATATCCAATCTCCTGTAGATGAAAATTGTTGTTGAACGGCCAGAGCTTTGGGATTCGAAGGAGAGTAATGCAGATTGCATTGGTGCCAAGAGGTCAGCGCCCCATGACCGGTCTTGTCACAGATTTGGCAATTCGGCTTGCTAGAAGAAGTTATGTCAGGATTCAGTGATTTAGTATTAGAAGAAGTTCTTGAATTGGGATTCCGTCCGCGGAACCGGTTGAAGCGCCCCACGGGTGTTGGAATTGTGAGTGGAGAGGAATGCTACAACATCGGTTTGAGATTTGTTTTCTTGAATGTGTTTGTGTTGAACGTTAATCTCCTCGCTGCACAATAAAGAGTAAAGAGTGTCGAGACTAATTGGGTTTAGAGAGGTTCTGATTGCTGTCTTGAACGGATTGATGATGGTGGGAAGGCCATTTAGTATGTATAATATGATATCATCGGTGTCGATTTTAGAGCCGGCAACAACGATATTGTCGATGAGGATCTTGATTTGATCAAGATATTGATTCATTGTCCGATCCTTCATCTGAATTTGATGAAGCTCATACATGGTGGAGAGAAGAGCTGAAACAAGATTTCGATCGATTAATTTCCAGAGATTGTGTTCCGTTTTGGAGGATTCAGCGGACACGATGTCAGCCCGGTGAGATGTTCGCTAAAGCCATTTGCTGTGAAGTGTTGGTGAATTTACAGACGCCAGATCACATAGTTCTTGGTAGTTAGCTGGGTGGGGACAAGATTTTTGATGTTAAAAAACAGTAATTTAAGAGGGGCAGGGATTACGAACTCTGCGAGGGATTCAGAGATGTTTGAAGTCGTCTGGCGCGAGGTTGTTGACTCTTGTTCGGCCATGAGGATTAGAGAAGAGCTGTGGAGCAGGGCAGCTCTGATATCATGATAGAGTTCTTGCCCAGAGGCAAGAATAGAAAAGAGCCCGAGAAGGAGATCTTGCCCAGCAGCAAGCAGAAGATGGGAGAAACGAACCCAAAAACAGAGAAATAGTAAAATGAAAGTGAAATATTATTAAGCCTACTGAACTATACAAGAGAGGCAAATATATAGACTAGGCCTATCAAGGAAATAACAAGAAAGTACAAAACAAACTAATGCTGATGTGGATCGGTACTTTAACAAGTTACACGATGAAATCCACATGGGTCCCGTGGCAATGATGTGCAAATGGAGAAAAATTGACACGTGGCATTGTCCAAATGATGACTAATCGCAAAAATGATTTCTACGTTTCATTCGGAACATTTTCAATACCCAAAATGGACAGTGATTTTTTCCAACAAAAATTGTGCGACGAAATCGACACGCAAAATGAGAAAATGCACGAATTTTGTGATGCACGCGAATCGAGACAATTTTGATCAATTGACCAATTTCTGTCATTTCAGGACGTAAATAAAGTGATGAACATGTTATTACTATCTTAAGTCAATTAAAAAAAGAGAAAACCAAAATAAAATGAAATCAGGTCCCAATTCCATGCAAACCTCGGATAGCTGCTCTGTTTCTTTGTCAAGCCGTCATCTCGATCACAGCTAGCCTCGATCAAACCCCTCGTCTCGTCGCTAAATCAAAACTGAAACGAGTTCGTTCCTTCAATCCCGTTTTCCCTCCGCTTCGTCTTTCACACGTTCGTGAGCTTCCGTCCTCTTCTTCCTTGTTCTTCGCAAACAAAATCTGCACTCCAGCTCTAGCTACCTCGCAAACTTTTTTTCCTTCCACGCGAATCCCTTCCGCCTCTTTACACAAGCAAGCAGCCGCGATCCCTCTCTCGTCTGTCCTGACTGGTCTTCCTCACGACCCTCACTCCGTTCCCAAGCTTAAGCTCCCGTCTGTCAAAACCCGCCTGCCCTAATATTGCCAACCACACGAATCAAGCTGCAACCGACCTCTTCTTTCTTGCCCTACCATCACTCATTCCATCTGCCTCCTAGCTACTGAAACCAGACCCGACGCTCCAGGCCGAACCAGTCCCCAGCCGCCGTGCCTTCATGTGCCGAAACCGACCACCTGCTTTCACGTGGATCTCCTCCCTTCCGCTCCAGCCAGATACTCGCGTTTTCGGAGTAGACCTCATGCGAATATTCAGGTTGTATCAATTCCATTGTCTAAAGCATCTAATATACAGCGGATATTTAATTTTGCTACGAAGGAATTAGGATTTGAATTTTATGTGGTGGCTCCAAGTGGTGACCACAGTGAAGCTAGAATTTCTCCGAGGTTTAAGTTTGATGGGAAATCAAACTTGTTTTATGTGGAGCTCCCATATGGTAATATACTGTCAAATTCTGTTGCTGATAAAGAGAACTGTTGGGCCTCTATTTGACCACCTTCACTCAACTTCGGTCTTTCAGACCTATGTCATCCACGGCTCCGATCTTTTCGACCTTCATTGTCCGCCGACTACAGTCCTTCTGACCACCATCACCCGAATATGATCTTTTCGACCTCAGTTGCCGGCCGACTATGATCCTTCCGACCAAACGAACATGTCAATATCGATTCTTCCAACTCCCACCATATAATGCACTCTATGTGATATATATTTGCTACATCAAGCCTAGGTCTTCGCCCCAAAGAAGGACCTCATTTGTAATCAACTTCAAACACTAGTGGATTAATTCAAACTCGGCCAGGCCCCGTAATTTTCCTCTAGGGGTTTCCACATCAAAATTCTAGTGTCTCTTATGAATGCTACACCCTTTCTTTTATCTGATTGTGTGTTGGATCTTCGTTCAAAACTAAGACGTTAAATTTTATCACTCTTTACCGCCGCCAATATTCCATATGCAACAGTAAATATTTGGGCAACCTTTAAATTGTCATTTGGGTGAATTTTACATGTTTTTTTACTAAAATCAATATATATATATATATATATATATATATATATATATATATATATATATGAAGTAAGATTGTAGGGACAGGATTCTTGGTGATGTTGATGATGATGGTGAGCAAATGTCTAAGTTTATACTAGTTGAAAATACAGGGCAAGTGCTCTGAGATGAGTGCATCGATGATTTGAGCATTATTTTTACTTAAATTTATGTTATTTTAGTCATCATTTTTTATTCATGCAATTGTTTATTTAGTTTACCATTTTTCTCTTGATAAACATACCTACGATGATCCCTATGAGAATGTTTCATGTTCTCTAAATGTATGAACCTTTATTCTTGCTATATATTCTGGTTCGCTTAGCTATGTTGGTTTGGGTTGGTTAGCGAACTTATTTGGGGTTTAATTTAGAGAATTGTTGGGCCGTGACTTCCCTCTAAGTATTGGCTAGTTACTTTGCCATGACTTGAAGTTTCCATTATGCTCGGTTGTGGAAGTTTTTGCTTAGGAATGTGAGACTGGCTTTGCTATTTTGCTCATTAAGTTCTTATCCAGCACGACTTACGGTTCATTGATTTTTAGCTGGCACAACTATTTCTTTGCGATCCCTGGTGGTGGTTGTTGAAACTTTTGGTTGTTTCACCCATAACTTGAATGATCAAATACTGTATCTGTTACGAGATTTCAACAGTTCTTAGAATTCAGATTTTTTTTTTTTCGATTTTTATTTGTCATTTGATGAGCCTACTATTATTATAAATAGAGGGGAACTTGAGGTATGCAACATTTTCTTTGAATATCTGGTTTCGTCTTTGTCTTTAATGTTTGTTGGATGCAAATCTTTCTAGTCTAGTGCAAGTAGTGACTACTAAATTAAGAGGGATATAATTTTTCTGTACCAGCATAAGTCTTGTATTAACACTTAGTGATTTATTTCCTTAGTCTTTTTTATTGTATATTTTTTATTATTAGTTTGTTATTGGATTTTATCATAATTCATACAACATGTAATTTTTATTACAATATAATTTTGATTGACATATCCTTTTATTGGTCTTGAAATTTTAGACTAAATTTTCATTTGGGCAACCATTACATTTTCATTTGAGGCGAATTTTACGTATTTTTTATTTTCATAAAAAATGATGAATATTTGTTTAGATAGGGAATGACTGAAATAGTCCTCCAACTATTCATGAAAGATCAAAATGATTCAAAACTATATAAGAGAATCCATTTAGTCCCCAGACTCTTTAAACATTGACCAAAATGGTCCAGCCATCAAAAGTAATGGAAGTTGGTGTTAATAGAATTAAAAATGGGGAAAATTTTGGAATGTATTTTTTCTTCCTTAAACCTTTAGTAATTCTAAATTTCTACTACAGCAACTATGTTTGTGTACAAGCGAGAGATGTTTGAGCTCGTACATGGTGTTGAGCAAGCTTTTTTTTTTGGTATTAAGTTTAAGATGAGGACATCCGTAAGAGATTTCGACATACGTACCATCGGAGGGGTCGTCGAGTGACGGCCATGATTCAGCAGCTTTATTATTGATGCTTTATTTTATTCATGTCATTTATATTTCATGATTTTTCATTTGTACCCCTATGAGGGAATTAGTGCTTGTTGTAGCCCAAGGGCAATGTCGTCTTTATGTTTTCTTTATTTTCGGAAAGCCTATATAAAGGCTTGGTCATTGTATTTTATGGATGATTGATGAATGAAAATTTTCTACTATTATGTTCTCTTTGTGAGTTTAAGAAGATCTCTTGGTGAGTTCTTTGCATGAGATCTCTTTGTAAGTTCTCTTAGTATTTACATCCATAGCTCTTCTCCTCATCCACAAAATACCACAATCCATACCAACGAGTTGGAAGAAGTCAGCCCCCTCCACGTTTGTCGTCTCCTTGGGATCCCCACCCGTCGGCCACCCTAGTCCCACCGGCCGGCCACCTTGCCGCCGGCTCCTCCCCTTCTCCATCCTCCCACCACCACTCTCTCTCGTAACCTCTTTTGAAATTTGAGCTCCACGTTCAAATTCTTTCCAAATTAAAAAGTTCCATTTTAGGAAAGTCTTAGAATTTTGAATTCAATTTCACATCAAATGAAATTGGATCATGAGAAAAGATTTTCCTTGTCATCTTTTATTTTTGGAAACCCTTCTCCCTCTCTCCCTAACTCCCTCTCTCTATAGTAATGCCGCCCCCCCCCAGGTGGAATTCCCATTAATTAGGTAATTAACTTCCCCCTTATTTGAAATCCTAATTAAGCCCAAATATCCTTTCCCTCCAATTACATCAAAAACTGAAACTAATTTCAGTTTTCAAATCCTCCTTCCCCTCTCTCTCTACCGCCGACTCCCCTTATGGCTCCATTCAATTTAAATTTCTTTAATGCCTTAATTGCCTCTTAATTGGAAAATAAAATCTCAAATTTTCCCTCCCAATTCCCTTAAACTGAAATTAATTTCAGTTTTCTAAAACTAATCCCTCCTCTCACCCTAGCTCTACCGCCGGCCTCCCCCTCCTCTCTCCAACCCGCCGACCTCCTCATCTTCCCCATTGGAGAGCTTCTTGTGGCGACCACCCATCTTCACCTCCATGTCGCATGGCGGATCCCGAGCTAGAATGGGGGCTTGTGTTCGATGCCCACGGTAATCTGAACGTTCTACAATCGCCCTTCTTCGATGCGGGATTTGACTCCGACGACAACACTGTTGGAGCTTACTTGGATCGGATCCTACCGACCCTCATCCAAGTCATCGATAAACAACGACCGGACTACTAGTGGACCATTGACGGTCGGAACTCCACGCCACCTCCACATCCTACGCTGTCCTCTCCATCACTACGGATCACCGGCTCTGTCTCCCTCGGAGTGGTTTCATCTCTTGTGTGGTTCTTCTTCTTCTGACACCCTAGAAGTAGACAAATGAGCGTAGCCTCAAGGTGAGACAATCGCTTTGTTAACCGCCGGATTCTAGTTGGTTTTTCATTGGCTTTACTTCTTATTGTCGTCGTTATTTTATAGATCTTGCTAATTTAACGGTAATAACTTGCCTAGACTTGGTTAAAATTCTAAGATCTTTTTGAAACATCACTTAAGAAAAGCATCAAGATTGAATTTTCATTATTTTAACAACTTTTATAAAATTTTCTGAGATTCAATTCCTGGTATCACATCATCTTGGTATCAGAGCATGGCTAGCATGCTTTGCTTGTGCTAGGTGCATCCTAGGAGTCTAGTTTATCTTGCCATTAGTCGTTTGCATACATAACACCATTTAGGTAGCTTATTTTGCTGTTTTACTTTGCTGTCCAGTAATTTCCTGCATCATATTTTCATTGTAAACAAGCATATCTACTTTACCTAAGTGTTATCCTTGTCACTTGCCACCCACCCCTTCACCTAGGTCACTTGCTACACTTGAAAACATTGTTGTCCAAAACTTTTCCTGCACTGTTTAGTGACTTTAGGTGCCCTTAACCCTTTGTTAAGTTGCTGTCCACACTCTACAACCCACCCTAAACACTTAGACAACTTACGCCATTGTGTTAGGTTTCTGTCCCTAGTATTCCAGCAGCGTATAGAAGCCTTAGGAGCATCCTACTGTACCATCTAGGTGCTGTCCACCACCCCGACACTTCCCCTAGCAACCCCTAACCTTCACCCATGGATCCGGAACACCTTCAGGCAACCCTAGACCTCATATTGGGCAAATTGGGAATTGTTACGCAGCAAATTCGTAACACTCAGACGGACTTAGTAGATTTTAGGAGATTAACCAGTGATCGTTTAGATAACATAGAGCGTATTGGGAATCTCGCGATCTATACACCTTCACGACCTCACTCACCCTATGGCGAGGATAACAGAGCAGATTTTAGGAGACGAATGAAAAACGGCGTTCAAAACAAAAGATGGACTTTATGAATGGACTGTTATGCCGTTTGGTCTGAGCAACGCCCCGAGCACCTTTATGGGGTCATGACCCAAGTCCTCAGACCCTTCCTAGGTAAATTTGTAGTAGTTTACTTTGATGACATTCTAATCTACAGTACTTCGGTGGATCAACATCTCAATCATATAACACAAGTTTGTGAAGTTTTGAGGAAAGAACAGTTATTCGCTAACCTGACCAAATGTAAATTCCTCACCGATAGTGTGACCTTTCTTGGATTCTTCATTTCAACTCAAGGATTATCTGCTGACCCAGAGAAGGTGCGAGCTATAAATGAGTGGCTAGAACCTAAGAATATTCGAGATGTTAGAAGTTTTCATGGATTGGCTACTTTTTATTGGAGGTTTATTCGAAATTTTAGCACCATCGTAACTCCTATAACAGACTGTCTTAAGAAAGGGGAATTTCATTGGACGAGAGCCGCCACCAAAGCTTTTGAGGATATTAAGAGAAAAATGATAGTAGCTCCTGTTATGCGTCTCCCATATTTTTCTAAAGTTTTTGAGGTAACATGTGACGCATCAGGAATTGGAATAGGAGGAGTCTTGTCACAAGAAGGACATCCTGTGACATACTTTAGTGAGAAATTAAATGACATTCGTCAAAGGTACTCTACCTACGATAAGGAGTTTTATGCAATCATTCAGTCCCTCAGGTATTGGAGGCACTACTTGCTCCCCCAGGAATTTGTAATATTTTCGGATCATGAAGCTTTGAGATACATTAATTCCCGTAAGAAGTTAAATGCCCGTCATGGTCGTTTGGTCGAATTCCTCCAAGAATATTCTTACACTATTAGGCATAAGGCCGGAGCTGAGAATAAAGCAGCTGATGCTTTGAGTCGTAGAATAATGGTCACTAGAGAGATGAGAACGGAGATTGTTGGATTTGAACGCATCAAGGATGACTATAAAGAGTGTCCTGATTTTAAAGAAACATACTCCTCACTGACGACTGGAGATAAACAAGTTGTGGATGATTTCTTGTTCGAAAATGGATACTTATTCAAGTCTCAAAAGTTGTGTATTTCTAACACCTCACTTCGTGAATTTCCTATGTGAGAACTACACGCGGGAGGCTTAGCTGGACATTTTGGGCAAGCAAAGACCATTACAGCGGTTGAGTATAGATTTTTCTGGCCCAGCCTTAAGCGAGACGTTAGTAGACTGATCAAACGTTGCCATACCTGCCAACTAGCTAAACAGAGAAAGCAGACGGGCCTCTACACCCCACTTCCCGTCCCAAACTGCCCTTGGCAAGATGTTAGTATGGACTTTGTTCTAGGGCTACCCAAAACCGCCAGGAAGCACGATTCTATCTGCGTAGTAGAGATCGCTTCTGTAAGATGGCCCACTTCCTCCCATGTGCTAAAACGTTCGATGCCTCTAAGATTGCCAAGCTGTACTTTGATGAGATTGTTCGACTCCATGGACTCCCAAAAATAATTGTGTCGGATCGAGACGTGAAATTTACGAGCTATTTTTGGAAAACTTTATGGATTAAGTTCTCCACCGCCTTTCACCCACAAACGAATGGTCAAACGGAAGTCGTTAATAGGAGCCTTAAGAACCTTCTTAGGACCTTAGTAGGTGAGCACATTAGAGATTGGGATTCCAAACTACCCATTGCTGAATTCTCCTACAATAATTCTGTCAATCGGACCACCGGTATGAGCCCAGCTGAGATTGTTTATGGATACCAACCTAGGCAACCGATAGATTTACTCTCCATGAGTCCTAAGCTTAGAGTGTCAGAGTTTGCATCCGCATTTGCATCGCATATCCAGAAATTGCATCAAGAAATTAATAAAAGAATTGTATAAAATAATGAAAAATACAAACTTAATGCTGATCTTAAGCGACGCTTCAAGGAGTTCGAAGTTGGAGACATGTCATGGTTCGGATTCGTCCGGAGCGGTTCCCACTAGGGGCCGTTAAGAAACTACATGCTAAAAGTGCAGGTCCCTTTAAAATAACTTCAAAAGTAAACAGTAATGCCTATGTCTTGGACCTTCCTGAAGGTTTCAACATGAATCCCACGTTTAACATTGAGGATCTAGTAGCCTTTGATGGCCCTGATTTTAACCCTGAAAATCCACTAAATATTGAGCCTTGTGAGTCCATACCTAGTGAGATCCCAAGCCTACATCCACTTCCCAAAATTCCTACACTACCTAATACGGAGAAGATTGAAACTATACTCAGTGATGAGATCATTTCCACCAGGGACGGCGGGCGCCAAAGATACTTAGTTCGTTGGAGAGGGAAGCCGGAGACGGAGGATACATGGCTGGAGCGTGATGAGATATAGAGACTGGACCCCGACCTTCTAGAGCTGTACGAGAGTTTTCAGGACCCTTGCTCGACAGGGTCGAGCTTTCTCCCACCCGGGGAGAATGATGAGGACATCCGTAGGAGATTTCGACATACGTACCATCGGAGGGGTCGTCAAGCGACGGCCATGATTCAGCAGCTTTATTATTGATGCTTTATTTTATTCATGTCATTTATATTTCATGATTTTTCATTTGTACCCCTATGAGGGAATTAGTGCTTGTTGTAGCCCAAGGGCAATGTCGTCTTTATGTTTTCTTTATTTTCGGAAAGCCTATATAAAGGCTTGGTCATTGTATTTTATGGATGATTGATGAATGAAAATTTTCTACTATTATGTTCTCTTTGTGAGTTCAAGAAGATCTCTTAATGAGTTCTTTGCATGAGATCTCTTTGTGAGTTCTCTTAGTATTTACATCCATAGCTCTTCTCCTCATCCACAAAATACCACAATCCATACCAA